TTTCCATCCACCTACCCCACCCACTCACCTTCCTAGCTGCCCTTCCGTTCAGTCAGCGGAAACTTATTTCCTGAGAACTTGTGATGTGCCAGGGACAGGGACTATGACAGGTACTGTGTGAATGAGAGAGATGGATAAGATGTAAATTTTACTCTTAAAGGATTCCCAGGGGCTTGGGGAGGTAGGATAAATCATGTTTTACCATCTGATCCAGCAATTCCACTTCTGGGCATATGCCCAAAATAATTGAAAGTGGGATCTCAAAGAGGTATTTTTATACCCATTTTTCATAACAGCATAATTCACACTAGCTTAAAAGTGGAAGCAATTCAGTGTATATCAATGAATGAATGGATTATCGAAATGTGGTAAATATGCATACATACAATGGAATATTATTCAGCCTGAAAAAGGAAGAAAATTCTGACCCATGTTTCCATGTTGGTGAACCTTAACGACATTATGTTAAGTGAAGTAAACCATTCATGAAAATGAACTAAATAGCACTATGCCTTTTGTTCTTTAAAAAGAAAACAGAAAGAAAGAAGGAAAAGAAGAGTGAGGGAGAGGGGGAGAGTAATTTTATTTGACGACTCATGTCAACTTCCATCCCTCATCATGGTGTTCCTACTGCATATTCTAGAAGATTTTGATATTTACATCATAATTCAAGAGACATCCACCGCAAAAATTGTTTTGACATGAAAGGCTAGGAAATTTTATATGATATGAAAATATTTATGCTGGTCCACTTCATATATTATTTAAAAGGAAAAAAGAAGTAGCAGTGTCCTTTGTCTGAAATTTAAACAGAAAATAGAATGAACAAAAAAATTGGTGTGTTTTCATTGTTTTAGGTAAAATTTTTACTGGAGTCAGGTTGACTGGAATTTACAACCATCTGAGGACACTTTTAATGCCAAAACTTTTAGTGCTTAAGCAGCTCCGTTACGCTTTTTCAGAAATATACTCAGCCATCAACTGGAAAACCACTCTCTAAAAAATGTAGTGGAGAAATTACTCACAGAACTTATTCTCAAATCTCTTCTATATATGCCCTATAATGGAGTTAGTCTTCCTTGAAGGATCTTAGACTTCAAACTGGAACTTCTGCTATGGAATCAGCTTCCATTAAATGATAGACCCTCATAAAAGTCCCTGAAAGAGTGTAGACATTTCCAAAAGTGGCTCAGAATTGAATTTTCATGAGCTTGTTTTAAAGACACAGATGCCTATCGTTACAGAAATAGAGTATTACGGAGGACAAAATACTTGGAGAGGATGGTAATCCAGCCTATCATTTCCCCTCAGTGGCACAGAGTGACTCACTAGCTCATTATCTATTTGGTTCTTAAACATTTCCAATGAAGGCAGTTCTGAAGTCTGCCATGGGGATGTCCAGTGAGGCTTATTTCTGAAATCAAGTGGGAGCCAAAGGATTTTCTCCTGAAATTCTTGGCCCATCAACTCATTTGTCTTCATTGCTTTCTTTGCTGTTGTTGTTCAGTCACTGAGTTATGTCTGACTCTGTGACCCCATGGATTGAAGCACACTATCTTCACTATCCTGTCCTTCACTATCTCCCAAAGTTTGCTCAAAATCATGTCGGTTGAGTAGGTGATGCCATCCAACCATCTCATGCTTTGTCACCCCCTTCTCCTGCTGCCCTCAATCTTTCCCAGCATCAGGGTCATTTCTAATGAGGCAGTTCTTCACATCAGGTGGCCAAAGTATTGGAGCTTCAGCTTCAGCATCAGTCCTTCCAATAAATATTCAGGACTTATTTGCTTTAGGATGGGCTGGTTGGATCTCCTTGCTGCCTAAGGGACTCTCAGGAGTCTTCTCCAGCACCAGAGTTCAAAAGCATCAATTCTTTGGTGCTCAGCCTTCCTTATGGTTGCTTTCTTGTTTTATATAATTCAGTAACATTCTTTATTCACATCGAGCCAGTTTATCCCATTGATTTTGTGACCAAATGAAATGAAGTAAGTTGTCTGCTCATAATGCATTAATTCATCTCCTCCCAGTTTTCAATTCAACAACGATATGCTTTGATTTCCTATTTATTAAAGAGGTAGAACAGGAGGAGCCAGGGATATTTGCAATCTTGTAAGGTTTGATATGAACATATTGGTATTATCATAAATAAATTTAGGTATGTAGAAGTATGTTGCTTCCCCAATTATCTTAGAAGGGCTTTGTATTGACAATATAAGTTAGTTGTTTTTTGAAATATTGCCACCTGACTTTCTATCACATGTCATTTCATTTGTGTTAAACATGTCTTAAATAATGAGCTGATATGTACCTCTCTTTTATAATCATATTTGCTTACTTGTTCTGTTTTGTTTTTTAAAGAGGAAATATTTTGTCAGTGATTCTGAAAATACTTGGGAAAAATTACTGACTTGTGCTATTAGAGCAGTTAACAAGGCAATCTAAAAAAAATAAGGAAATAATTTTAAAACTTGGAGCTCTGGCTCTGTTTTTCATAGGGTAATAAATACTGTTGAATAGATATAAAGCTCTGCAGCGTAGCTAGGGATAATAATCAAAATATTTATCAACCAATAAGTAGGGTGTGGGCTTCCCTACTTCCCTATTGTGTTCAGACAGTAAAGAATCCACTTGCAATGCGGGAGACCTGGGTTCGATCCCTGGGTTCAATCCCTGGGTTGGGAAGATCCCCCGGAAGAGGGCATGGTAACCCACTCCAGTATTCTTTCCTGGAGAATCCCCATGGACAGAGGAGTCTGGTGGGCTACAGAGTCTATGGGCTCACAAAGAGTCAGACACTACTGAGCAAATATGCACAGCACACACAAGATAGGGTGTGGGGCTTCCTAGGGGACTCAGTGGTAAAGAACCCACCTGCCAGTGCAGGAGATATAAGAGATGCTGGTTTGATCCCTGGGTTGGGAAGATCCCCTGGAAGAAGGCATGGCAACCCACTCCAGTATTCTTGCCTGGAGAATCTCATGAACAGAGGAGCCTGATGGGCTACTGTCCATTGGGTTGCAGAGTTGGACAGGACTGAAGTGACTTAGCATGCATGGCATGCAAGGTAGGGTGTACTGCCCAATCCAAACAGGTATGGCCTTAGCTCAGGTACAGGTGTTAAACCTTTAGGTGCTCAGTTATGGATGAAATACTAGGGTGGAGCACCAGAAGGTTTAGGACAGCAGTCATCTACCAGCCATATATCATGAATTCAATACTCCTACAAACCAGTCCTGCTGGACAAGAACATCCTACTTTACAGCAGCCCAATCTGTACATCAAGGAATGAAATTTACATTTTTATTGGGGGTTGGTGGAATTGGAGACCTCAGTGGTTGAAAATCCCATATGCTTCTTCCAAGCTTCGGATCTCTTGAGTCTTCAGGAGGTTTGATTGAGGGGGCAGAGGAGGCAAAGAGGAGACTGAGGGTGGTGTCCCTGCAGTCAGTGGATCTTGTCCCTGAAATGTCTGGGTCCTCCTACTCATTGTCTTACTCACCTGTTTCCCTAACACCTCAACCTACTTGTGGCTCAATAACAAAAGATGAATGAGTGATTGAGGGTGATTGACTGGCTGTTTCAAATTGTGGGCTTTATTATGATTCAGATATGATGAGGTCAGCATATCAGGAGATGATTGTCTTGGGAAAGAACCCTTACTCACAGTTCCCAAGAGGAAGGGCATGTCACATTGTGCAGGGGCCACAGAGGGAAGCCCCAGCATGGGGCAGGAGGCAGAAGGAGTGAGGGCAAAAGGTGGGCAAAAGGCGTTATTGTGGTTTCTGTGGGGAGAAATGAGTGAGGCATAGTAAATAATCCATGTTGTCCACAACACCCCATTCAATATGTATAGTTTATATTCTCATTTTTATACATGAGGAAGTGGGAGCCTTGAGAAATTGCATAACTTAGTCTAGGTTGCAGAGAATTGTGATGTGATGCTCTTATTCTCTGTTATACTCCATTTTCCACTTGTTTTATTCCAGTTACTTGCTTGTGTGTCTGTTGATGCAGCTAGTTTGAGCAGTTCAAAATGTTGGACAGTCCTTCTTACCTGTATGTGTTCAGTCTCCATCAGAGCATGGGCACCATAGAAACCTTTGTGGAATCAATCAGTAAAGTCTCTATCACCTTCCTCTTTAATTTGAGCAGTCTGGTCAGCAGCCAATTGATGGTACAGGAGCTTTCCTGATGGAAGGAGACCATTTTTATGGCTTTCTGTTCTTTATCTGACATCCTCTGAGACGGGGAACATGGGAATATAGAAATGAATGACTCCACAAATGGTTATTTCTGTTTTTTGTGTCACTTATCCCTTTCTTAATCTGGGTTCCTTGATGGTTCAGTTGGTAAAGAATCTGCTTACAATACAGATTGGGTCAGGAAGAGCCCTTGTAGAAGGGCATGGAAACCCACTCCAGTATTCTTGCCTGGAGAATTCCATGGACAGAGGAGCCTGGCGGGCCACAGTCCATGGGGTCGTGCAGAGTCAGACACGACTGAACAACTAACACTTTAATCTGGGTTCCACAGATGCTTGCTTTATAGGATACAGCCTGAAAGAAGTATGTGAGGTGTCTGCCCTGTCCTTGGGAAAGTTAAGTGAATGTATAGAACTTATGCTGCTGCTAAGTCACTTCAGTTGTGTCTGACTGTATGACCCCATAGACGGCAGCCCACCAAGCTCCGCCATCCGTGGATTCTCCAGGCAAGAATACTGGAGTGGGTTGCAATTTCCTTCTCCAGTGCATGAAAGTGAAAATGAAAGTGAAGTCGCTCAACCATGTCCGACTCTTAGCGACCCCATGGACTGCAGCCTACCAGGCTCCTCCGTCCATGGGATTTTCCAGGCAAGAGTACTGGAGTGGGGTGCCATTGCCTTCTCCGATACAACTTATACCAATGGACTATTACAGGAAAGTGAATGGGAAAGGCAGAGCTACTGTCCTTCTCGGCTGGCGGCTCTCCTGATTATCTCCTCTGCCTTTTCTTCCTTCCAGCTTGCCACCCATCCTGTTTTGGGTGTGCAGGGATGAGCCCACGTAACTGCACAGCCTGCTGGCCTTCCCACGTGCTGTTGGATGGGCAGTGCCTCTCCCAATGCCCAGATGGGTACTTCAACCAGGAGGGCAGTTGTACAGGTGAGTATGGCTGGGGCGTATGCCCATCACACCCTATGCCCATATGTTGTCTTCATAATGCAACCTGACTCTGCATTTAGAAACCGTGTCATACCAGGGGACTAGACTTGGGCTGTGAGTCCTTCTGAGTGAGGAAAACAAGTGAAATTCTGTTCATCCAATAGGAAATATGGATAACGTGAAAAATGAGAATCAGCTTGACCCTCTGCACATAGTGAGGGATGATGGGGGCCATCGAGGAGATGAGCTGCTGCAGGCTCTCATGCATTTGTGGGAGAGCAGGCATTGGCCTTACTTTTGCAGTTCTCAGCCTCCCTATCCCCGGCTGCAGCCTAATAGAGCAAAAAGGGAAAGAGGTATTTATTTTCTTCCTTGACACATCAGCCCAATATGTTTTTAAGAGCACCTATATATTTCAGTGACAGAGATTTTAAAAATTACTAGTTCAGATTAGTGAAGGGTTTTATTGGAATCTAGAAAATACTAAAATTTAAGCACCTTATTGTAGCTCTGTGTTTTCTTGTCACTAAAGAAAAAAAAAAGACAAACACATTCTATCATGATTATGGTTTTATTTCTAAAAATAGACTGCTGAGGCCGACTGATAGGGAAAAAGCCCATTGTTATAAAATTGTTTGATTTGTGTTTCTGGCATTGGAAAACACGTAGTAAATGTGTAAAATATTTTTGAAATAAATTAAAACTTGTCAGATTCATCAAGCCTCAAACTCCAAAGAGGAAATTTAATGTGAATACAAATTTAGATGATTGAAGATCAATATTATTTCTTCTGGAATTTTCTTCTACAAGTAGCTTTTTAATCTCTGTAGGCCCCTGGTGGGTTGTTTTACTTGAAACACTCTATTAAGCTCAGTGGGGAACATTCTTGGTTTCTTTGTCACTGGGGTTGTCCTTGAAAACTGTGGTCTTTCCTTCTGTGCCCTCACCCTTGCCCAGTTGGTTTCATCTGTGGAAAATTGTTTGTGGGAGGAAAGTCTGAGAAGCTGTAACTCTTCTCTGCCCATGCCCCTGCCTGCCTGAGACCAGCAGATGGAAGGTACTTTCAGAGGGAAGATTAAAAAAAAATCCCACTGCAGTTTGAATCTGTTTCTTTTGCTTTCTGTTGCTTTCCTAAACTGAAAGGATACTATCTGTACATAATGCCCTACCTCGGGGAACCCAGCCCCTCTGCCTGAATGTGAAACCAAAATGCTGTTGTCCAGAGAGACCTTCTGACCCTGTTCACCTATGTATGGCTGCAAGAAAGAGGAAATTAACACATCCCCTCCCCGAGGCTGGTCATTCCAGGGGATATTTGCAAGATTAATGGCCTTTATACTTTACTTCCTCATCTCCTCCTCTGTGTTCTGTAAAATAACCTGGTATCCATACCGTGATAAGATGGTTATTTTGAGACACTAGTCTGCCACCTTCTTGGTCTGCCGGCTTTCCAAATAAAGTTGTTATTCCTTGCCTCAACACTTCGTCTACTGATTTATTGGTCTGTCGTGGGGCGAGCAGAGGGGACTTGGACTCAGTAACAGTATCACAAGCAGCAGGGCTCCAAGGTCACTGGAAATATCCTGGCAGGGAGGGGGCATTAGGCGGTAGAGATCATCCTGAGAGAGCTAGTATCTTTTGGATGGACATTTACAAAGTTAAGAGCCTCAGGAATGTAGAACTGGTGATAGTTAATGCTAGCCTTCTAATCAGCAGTTTGCTCGCTTGCTTTTTTTTTTCCTATAACTTCTTATCTTCTCTTGGCCTTCTGCCAGACAAAGTTGACTTTACTGGAAATCTGTGTCTTTCCTTCCCACCAGCTCTGCACCAGAAGGGAATTCTTTGTCATTAGTTCCAGCAAGCACTACCCAGCTCTGGTCCTTCACCTCCCCTCCTCTTAGAATCATACAGGCTTAGACTTCCTCATCCTTGGCAGAGAAACCCTTCAATCTCCTTCCATGCACACTTGCTCCCGCTGCCCATCTTGGCAGCACAAGAGCAGCTGCAGCTGCAACTTTCTTTTATTCTTTGCCATCCTTATCTTTATTGCCTGCACCTACTGGGACTCACTGCTCTTTTTCAGTATAGTACCTCTCAGTAATTTGGTGGTTTTTCTGGGGAAAACATAGCTTTGACAGTTTTGTCTAAAGAATTGAACTTCAAACATGGCTCAGGATAACCTCCAGAAAGAGGCCTTTTTTGGCTCTTTGTTGGTTTTTTTTTTTTTTTTTTCATTTATTTTTATTAGTTGCAGGCTAATTACTTTATAATATTGTAGTGGGTTTTGTCATACATTGATATGAATCAGCCATGGAGTTACATGTATTCCCCATCCCGATCCCCCCTCCCACCTCCCTCTCCACCCGATCCCTCTGGACTCTGTATTTTAATTAAGTGTTGCTGCTAAAACAGGCACTCAAGTTGTGGCCTGGAGGGAGAGCAGGGTTGGCATGTGACTGTGAGAAGTTTTCACTTCCCCTGCTATGGATAGTTCCACCTGTGCCTGCTGGGGATTTCAGAGAAGCAAAATGTCTCCCTCTTCTCCATCAAGCTCTTTGAATTTTAGAGGGGGAGAGTCTTACCACTTTTTTTTCTGCTTTTTGACTTTGATCTGAGCTTCATGACTTATATAGATGGGAATGGTCATACTGAGCAACCAATTCCTCTCATTTTATTTTCTAAAAAATTTTAAAGTATTTATTTACTTATTTAGCTACACTGGGTCTTAGTTGAGGCATGCAAGATCTTTAATCTTCCTCTTGGCATGTGGGATCTTTTTAGTTACAGCCTGTGAACTCTTAGTCGTGGCATATGGGATCTAATTCCCTGACTGGAGATTGAACCTGGGCCCTTAGCTTAGCTATTGGACCTGGGCGCTTAGCTGCTGGACCACCAGGGAAGTCCTAATTTCTCTCATTTTAATGTTTCTAGATTTCATGTTCTGTTCATAGGCAACGTTTTTGCCCTAGAAATGCTGTCTTTTGGTCAATGCCAAAGGGTGTGCCAGGCTTGCTCAGAAGTCTTCTTCGAAAGATGATTAGCGTTGGAAGTCTGTTCTTAATGTAATTGGTGGAGTACACTAAATACTTCGTGTGTGTACATGCTGAGCTGCTAATTCCAATCCCGATTCTTGTTTTTCGTTCCAGAGTGCCACCCCACCTGCAGGCAGTGCCATGGCCCGTTGGAGTCTGACTGCATCTCCTGCCACCCTCACATTCCTCTGACTGCTGGGAGCTGCAGGGCCGGCTGTAAAGAGGAGCAGTTCCTCAACCTCGCGGGCTACTGTGCTGGTGAGTGAGTCCCCTTCACAGGCTCAGAAATCCCTAGCCAAAGGCTGGGACTCTTCATGCCAGGCCCCAGAAGGCTCTTGTATTTGTCCTTTGTCATCAGATTAAGAGCTCTCTTTTGGGAGGTGTTTGTCTCATGTCCAAAAATTCACTCCACTGCTTTGTATCTGACATTTAGTAAATATCTGTGGATTCAAGTGGAATCTTCTAATGATACTCTTGCAGTTCCTGAAAAAAAATCTTAGAAACCTCATATTAATGAAAACTGAAGTCATGGTAATGATTGCTTACATGCATGCAGTGCACTTTAGCTTCAGACGGCAAGAGGTAGGTTCAAGATTGTCACTGCCCTCTGAAAACAATTGTCCTCTTGTCTGCGTTAACTCCTGCTGTGAAGAACCTTTGTCATCAGCCCTAAGCGCACACAACAACAACCAGGCACAGAAGTGCAGGGAGATTAACCTAGAAGCAAATCAGTTGCTTCAGGAAATGGGATTTTTTTTTCCTCCTCAGTTTAGTACTCAGATCTTAAAATGAAGTAAATTAAAAAACCAAAAAAGAAAAAAAAGAGCAGCAACAATAACAGCAACAGCTTTACTGGGACTTCCCTGGTGGTCCAATGGTTAAGAGTCTGTGCACTCAATACAGTGGGCACAGGTTCAATCCCTGATCAGGGAACTAAGATCCCACATGCTGCACGGGTATGGCCACAAATTTTGTTTAAAAAGCACCTTACTGGAAAGAAACCTGGAATTTGGAAAATGATGAAGTAGCCATGCAGTGTTTGTGTTCATCCATCCATCCATCCCTACAATAAATATCTTTGAGTGTCTAACGGTGGTCAGATGCTCAGAATATCAAAAAAAAAAGTTTCATAAGACAATGATTGTGCCCTCAAAGAGTTTAAGTCTGAAGAAGGGAATTTACAGACTAGTGGGTTATTTTATATTTCTTGACCCACTTCTCCAAGTTGCATGAGAAAGTTGAAGAGATTTGCCTACAGCAGCTGTTGTCACGCCCTGAACGGCTTGAGTAGGAAGCATCCTGGGATCCAGTGGGCAAGAGGGGAAGCTGAAAAATCTGGTTAGACACACCCCGGAAGGGCTGACCTGGCTGTAGGGCTTGTTCTCAGGCAGGGAGGGAGTGTGGCGAGTTGTCTGCATCAGAGTATCGAGGTGGCCCGTTCAACACAGAGAGTAAACGATAATAGTGCTTCATGTGTGGCTGGGGCGCCGCAGTCCTGGGTGATTTCTTTCTTTTTGCACATGACCTTGGCTCAGACAGTAAAGAATCTGCCTGCAGTGTCGGAGACCCGGCTTCAATCCCTGAGTCAGGAAGATCCCCTGAAGAAGGAAATGGCAACCCACTCCAGTATTCTCATCTGGGAAATCCCACGGACAGAGAAACCTGGCAGCTATAGTCCATGGGGTCACAAAGAGTCAGACAGAACTGAGCGACTAACACTGAGCTTAAGACTAGACATTAGAAGGAATTCCCTGGTGGTCCAATGGTTAGAACTCCACACTGTCACTGCTGGGGGCCTGCATTTGATCCTTGATCGGGGAATTAAGAAACCACAAGTCATGTAGAACCACCAGAAAAAAATAATGAGTGAAAAAATGACTCAACATGAGAGTCCAAGATCTATGCCCTAGGGAGACAGAACTCTTGAAAGCAACCAAGACCTGCTAGGATTCAGAGCAAAACCTGATTATAGAGACTGCAAACATTTTAGGAACAATGGAAAGTAGAAGCCCAGAGAGTCCAGGCTTCAGACAGATGTGATAGCCCACAACTAGAGGGGCTTCCCTGACGGCTCAGATAGTAAAGAGTCTGCCTGCAATGCCAGAGACTTAGGTTTAGCCCCTGGGTTGGAAGATCCCCTGGAGATGAGCATGGCAACCTGCCCCAGTATTCCTGCCTGGAGAGTTCCAAGGACAGAGGAGCCTGGGGCTGATTTCTATGTTAGGATACAGAGGATCAGCCCCCAAGAGGTTCCTGACATGGTTAAAGCACATTAGTGGATGTTTGCTGAGAATAAGCTGAGCTCAGGGTGCTGAGTTGCTATTTGGGGGGTCTCAGAGATCTTGCAGGCTACTTAAGGAGATGACACAAGTACAGTTAACAGACACTACAAAGCAATTTATGGATTATAACTTCTTGAGGCAGTATGGGTTGTAGGAGTTCAGAGGAGGGAGAAATAAAAGATATGGACAGGTGGGGCCCCAAATTCTTCCTGAAGAATAGCTAGGACTCTGTTAAACAGAGGGAAATGGGGCGGGCATTCCAGGTGTGTTTCTACCGGGAAACAGGCACAGGGGTAGAACATGTGGGCCATTCGTGGCCAGTGAGAGTGGTCCAACCTGGCTGAAGGGCGTGGTTTGAATTATGACATATTAGGTGAAATGACTGGAAAATGTAAGTTGGAGCCAGGGTATACAGAACGCAGAGTTCTAGGCTGAAAAATTTGGACTGACTCTTGTGAGCAATAGAACTATGAGAGTTTTAGAGGGAATTGTTGACAGCTAAGACTGTGTTACAGGCAGGAAGGCTGCAGGCTGCGTGGAAGATGGATTGGAAGTTGCAAAGATGATAGTCAGAGTTGTTAGAAGGTTGAGCCTTCATAATGGCTTTTCTATTTTCAAACTATTCTGAGTGTGGAACCTATACACTTTATGCTGGGGCCATTTTATAAATAAATGTTTATATAAGGAGATTGGAGAATTTTAATTTTTAATCAGCTCAGTTCTCTCCAATGTCCAGAGGCCTCTTTGAAGGTAAATTAGGTGATTAGGAATTGCATTAACTTTTTAAGGCTTATATGGGATCAGTGGAATAAAGAATCATTGAAGTAGGCCAAATGACCCTGGAAGTTCCCAGCCCTAGAATATCAGGTTCCATTAATGTAAGCTGAAAGGAACACACCTTGTCTGTCCTAAGATTAGGTGAAAGTTTTAAATAAGGTAACCCATTGTTTGGTACTTGGAAATCTTTTGTTGAGTGAGAATGCACTCGTGCATGCTAAGTCGCTTAAGTCTTATCCAACTCTTTGCAACCCTATGGATCATAGCTCTGTCCATGAGATTCTCCAGGCAGGAATACTGGAGTGGTTTGCTATTCCCTCCTCCAGGGGATCTTCCCAACTGAGGGATCAAACCCATGTTTCTTATGTCTGCCTGCATTGGCAAGTGGGTTCTTTACCACTAGCGCCACTTGAGAAGCCCTGAGTTGAAAGTAGCTTATCAATATTTATCACAGAAAAATATGACCAGTAATTTCAGCTGTTGACCTTTTAGAGAAGTGCACTGACCCCAAGGTTTATTTTTTAATGAATATATGCCCTTTCCAAATACCTCCCAATTCTCTCTGTAATATTGTAATGGATTTGTTCATGTATGGCTTCATCAAACATTTATTACCCACATGCTCCTTACCAGGCACTGTGCTAGGCTCTGGGGAGGCCCAGATGAATAAAATATAGTACTTGCATTCCAGAAAAACACTGTGTAGTGAAGGAAGGAGAAGTTTGTTGAATATGGTATTACTGTGACTGTATGAGCTGAGGGCAGCACCCTATCCCAGGCTGGAATGTGAGTGTGTGTGTGCACTCGTGTGTGTGTGTGCGTGCATGTGTGCCTGTGTGTAGTGAGTGATGAAGGCCTTCTGGAACAAGTCATAACTGAGATGATTTGGAAACATGAGTAAGAATTAGAGAGCTTTGGAGATTTGGAGAGGAGAGCATTCCAGAAAACAAGTCAAAGAATAGTTTCTATTCAGGCATCAACAGAGAGTTCAGTAGATGCCAGGTCCCTCCAGGTGCTGGGCCCTGAAGCAGAAGGAAGCAGGCCAGGTCACGAGGCCTTTGTGGGTTCTGTTTGAGGGGAACAGGCCTTGTTATCAAGGCTGTGGTAGGTTTTTAAGGAAGGAAGCATTTTAATTACATTTCTGTAAAGAGAAAGATCTGCAGAAGATCACGTAGAAGAAGATGCGGGCAGAATGTCCTTTGGGAGGGAGCTGTAGGAATCCAGGTGAGAGATGAATCCCTTTGATGAGAAAGTTGCTGAGGGGATGAAGAGCAGGGCGCAGCTTCAGTAAGCATTAATCGTATATTAGGTCGACCCATCTGAGATTGCTGTTTTGTGGGCAAAAAAAAAAAAAAGGTCAAATAGTGGCAGTTTCATATGATTCAACCTAATAGAAACGGCAGAAGTTGGTGATCTCCTAGACCTGAGGCCAAGGGAGAGTGAATTTGGGGGACGATTTCTAGGATTCTGATCTAGTAAGTTCAAGGACTAAGAGAACCATTTGTGAAGGACCAGAATAGGAAGATGATATATTTGACCTTGGGCAGGTGGGACAATTGGACTATCTGGAGTCGCTTTCCAGGAGGAGGGTGAAGGTCTCATTGAGCCATAAACTCATCTGCAGTCTTCATTTCGCCCTGAGCCTAAAGTCCTGGAACTCCTTTTTTAGCTCAAGTGTTACTTCAGTCACATCATAAGTTAAACTCCTGGAATATTTCAGTGACTTTTATCTAAATGCTGGAAGGTGTTAGGAGGAGCCCTGGTGATAGCAGAACAGAAGATAGTCCACCCACGTGGTGCCCTCAAGAAAGTGTATTTCCAAAGTCCTTGGGAAAATCTAACACAGTGGAAGCCCTGAAGCACCCTCTCTTTCCCCTCTGTCTCATGTGAACTTTAGAGGTTAGTAGGATTTACTCACAGGATTTATTCTCTCTCCGAGCTGTACCTAACCTAAGATCATCATCAGAGACCTCTTAATTGCCCTTAGCTGTTTAAGAAAGAAAATTACATCTAATTTATCACACAGACAAGAATAAGCACATCCTGGGAACAGGTCCAATAACCTCAATGTGTTATCACATATGGAGATGTCATGTGTGTAAGGTTTTTTTTCCCTCCAAGTCTATCAAAGCAAATACACAGTTTGTGAGATTTGGGGCCAGAGCTGAAGGCTTTCAACAAAGACAAATGAGCTGGGAT